ATCTCAATGTATGCTTGGAATCATATTGGTTGGGAATATCATAATGGGCTTTGATGTTGGAGAGATATTGACCGAATCATATTGCAATATGAAGTTGCTTTCTTTCTTGAACATTCATCTCTGTGTTTTGCTCTTAAGAAAGTTTCGTTTTATATGAATCAATATTCAATCTTTTGATCAATACCTTTTGATCAATTGAACATAATTCATAATTGATCAAATATCATTGAAAGGATAAACATGAAGCATGGATAATTAAATATGACATAATTATTCCAAATAATTATTCAAACTTGAAACATATAAGCTTCCACATCCAAATGCTAGAGACAAATGTTTCACCACCCATTCCCATGGCAATCACATTATTAATGTTTCAAAAACATCCAAATAAATTATCCAACATGTCAAGATAAATAGGAGTGTAACCATCCAATGTAGCATTTAATGCTTTATTTAGTCCATCCATGTGGTCACCTCTTCAGCCAAGATCCTACTCATCTTTATCTTTGGTCTCTGCAATATGTCAAACATATGAAAACCAACTTTGAGGTATCATATACCTTTAATATATAAAGTAGAATTATTTAGCAAATGGTACCTAAATCAAAAACTTCAATAAACTTATTTTTGTTGCTTACAGTAGCTACATACTCCTTGCAAAATGACAAATATCCTTCTCTCTGTCCTTTTTAACACCTCATTTAGGCTTCAGTGCCTTCTCATTTTGGGATTTTACCTTTTTCCCTTTTTAGGCATTCTTCTTTGTTGCTTTGAATAAGCCTTGGAAGAAGAAACAAAAAGTAATAATCTTTTATCTTTCTTAATGGACCTCTATACCGTTTCTAGCATATTTAGAAGTTTGAGAAGAATAGCTTCTAATTGATTCATATGGAAGTCAAACAAGAACTGACTGAAGCTGTCAAGAAAAGATTGTAGAACTAAGTCTATACTTAACTCATGATCCATTTCTAATCCCAATTGTCCAAGTCTATCGATGAGTCCAATCATCTTCAGCATATGGGCCCTAACTGAACTGCCTTCTACCATCTTGCATCAAAATAGTTCTTTAGAGATCTCACATCTCTCAGTGTGCCTTTCCTTATCAAATAGTTCTCTAAGGTGAAGAATCATGGATTGGACATCCATCTGTTCATGTTGCTTTTGGTGGTTAGGGGTCATACAGGCTAGCATCTTGCATGCTGCTTGATCATCGTCATCCTTATGATGTCGATATCCTTCCTTATCCTCAGCACTAGCATCAACAACAGGGACTGGTGGAATAAGAGTGTCAAGGACATAGGATTTCTTCTCTTGTTTCAAGATGACCTTGAGGTTCCGAAACCAATCGATGAAGTTTGGGCTAGTGAGTTTATTTGCATCCAAGATGCTCCGCAGTGAAAAATTATTAGCCATGTGTATAAATATGCCTAAATAGATAAAACAAAGCAATAAGTAAACATCATGCATAAACTATTTAAAATAAGGTTTTAAAATTTTAAATAGTTCTCCCATTATTCTCTACAAGATGATAACCCTCCATATCACCTCAAGAGATTTGTACTAGGATTCTCTCAGTGGGCTAGGATCCCATCCATCTAGTCATGGCCTTGAGTGTGCTCAACAAACTATGATAGGTGGATTTAGTAGGTAACTGAGCTTACCAATTTTATCTATATACAACTCCTAGATCAGCTAGCTGACAACACATTGCCTAAACATATCATATATGTTTTGCCTAGCCTTTGCGTCTAGTTTCCATAATAATCAAGTTTCCAAGCATCTATATTTTAGGAAACTAATTGAGTAAGACCAACCAATAACTCAAACATACTCGTCTAAAAGTGTGGCCTTGAGTGTGCTCAACAAGCCTCCAATTAAAGGGGTAGTCAGGTTATCTTACTATATGGTGGAAGGCAACTTAATCATATGTGGTATATGACTTAATATTTACCAAGGTATTTTATCCTTTTCATTTTATTAAGGTCTCATTTGATTAACATGCATAGCACCTAATATATCGCATAAAATTAAATATATCACATACTATTCTACTAAGATGGTTATGGACTTTTCTACTCTAGTTT